TTGGCTTCTCGCTTGATGCCGTAGTGGAAGCTGAGGACATAGGGCCTTTGCGAAGTCCAGGCACGGGTCTTAGATTGAAAGGCGTCCGTTTCACGAAGCTTCCACTTTTACCTTTTCCTTTTCGTTTTGACTGGCCTCCGGACCGATTGCCGCGATGGGATAGAAGCCACGGGACAGCGCCAACTCCTGCGCGCGCTTCCGACTCTCAACATTAGACACATAGGCTTCATCGGCGTGGTCCATTGCCTCCTCCAGTGCCTCTGGGACTTCATCATCTTCTTCTTCTTCGAAGACTTCATCATCTTCATACCACGTCCCACTCGTCATACTCGTCACCCTCATACCAAACCTCCTCCTCGAAGTAGTCCTCCTCCTTGTTAGAAGGAGCGGTGCGTCCAAGGTCGCGCGCGTTGGGCCGATGGTCTCCTCCAAACAGGCGGATCAGGGTGAGAGACCAAAAAAATATTTAACGCATCAATAAAAAATATTCCACACTCATCAAAAAATATTTAAAGAAGCAAAAAATATTCCAAATAGCAGTATGAGTAAGAGTAGCAACCGGACTATAATAGCAGCAGTATCGTAGTGGTAGTCGTAGTGTTTTGTGGCAGGCGCAGTACTTTGTGGACCTTGCAATGCACATGTTGAAGTGCAGAGTTGGTGGCCAGTGGTAGGCGCAGGACTTTATGGGCCTTGGAGCGCAGATTTCGTGGCAGGCGCAGGACTTTTTTGTGGACCTTGAAGTGCAGATTTCGTGGCAGGTGCAGGACTTTGTGGGCCTTGGAGTGCAGATTTCGTGGCAGGCGCGATTTCGTGGCAGGTGCAGGACTTTGTGGCCTTGGAGTGCAGATTTCGTGGCGGGCGCAGGAGTTTTTGATGTGGAAGTGTAGAGTTGGTGGCAGGTGCAAGACTTTGTGGGCCTTGGAGTGGAGATTTGGTGGCAGGACCAGCGGACCAGCGGACCAGATGACCGGCCACCCACACGACTGGGAATTCCAAGGGATTTCATCGCAAAACGAATATTTTTTTGATTCAGTACATATTTTTTTGATTCGGTAAATGTTTGTTTTTTGATTCGATAAATATTCTTTTTTGATACCTATGCCGGCGGATCAGGGCTTTGCTCACCTTCTCATAGTCCATGACTCCACCGCGCATCGCATTGATCTGCACATGCGTCCAACGTGGTACTCCAGCTCTGTGTCTGTAGCTCCGATATGCCTTCTGTGTCAGTCCTTGATGGGCAGGCTTTGGCAAGACCAGAGTCTAATCCACCACGATTCTGTGGAGTGAACGGGAGTTGGAGGGGCGAACAAGCCGCCACCAGTCGACGCGGCTGCGCCTTGAACACCGCGGGCTGAAGTCTTGGCCCTGCAAACCGGTGTTCGCCTGGGACTGCCACGGTCTCCCGGACATAGGTGAGGATCTTATCTTCAACCAGCTGGAGGAAAACGTAGGCGAATCCAGTGAGGTAGGGCACCGTAGACGATTTCAGCCTGGAGCGTCTCCTGCTCCGCTACCAATCTCAACGTCGTAGAGGTCGGCGCACAAAGTCCGAACGACAAGTCTGTCTCTCTTTTGTCTAGGGCCTGGGGCGTTGCACGCATGGTCTCAAGGGCCCTGAATGACACCACGGAAAACAAAGTACATGCCTATCATTGCATGCGATAGCAAGTCAATCAGAATATATTATATATAGAGCCTCAGCCTCACGAGCAGTTGCAAAAACACACAAGCACTATCTATATAATATATAAGACAATGTAATACATAATATTAGGCCATGCACTGAAAACATGAATATAGAAGCAGAAGATAGCACCTGCATGCTGAGGCGATGCAGTGTCGGAGCACGGTTCCTCGGCTCAAAGATCTCGCTCAATCAAGAAGTGAATGCAACTCAAATGTAACAATAAGCTACTAGTAGCAAGGTGCATCGCTACTAGTAGCATCTAGTAGCTAGAAGCTAGGACAATGCAGAAGCTGTGCGCAACATCTGTACCTGTGCAATGTCATCACAAAGGGTTTCCCACTGAGGGCTCTGCAGAAGCAATGGCCTGAGCATGGCAAAATCCACATGACAATGAGACACCACAAAGGAATTAAATAACAAGTTGATTTTTCCTGGAAAGTGTTGGCAACGCAATTGGACTTTACTTTGCAACCAGTTTTAACATAGTTTAAGGTACACTTTCGACAGTCCTTGAGGGAAATTAGCCTATGTTTTCTGATATATGTTGTGCAAGTTTTAGAAGTATTATGAATATTCCACATCCGTTGCCTGAAGGTTGCCAAACATATCCTTGTGTTTGCAACCCTTCCTCTCTCTTTCTCTCCCACTCTTCCTCATGAGAGGGAACTAAAAGCGACACTGGATTCTCGCCGTTGGTGAGTGAAGCGGTGCATATATACAAATATTATCAATTATTCAACACCTGCAGCTACTAAGGACTTTGAGCCCCCGCCATCCCAAATTCAATGTTGTGCTTTAACTTTGCAAACTCGTGGTGTTTGGAGACTTTCTTTCGCCTGTTCGCCTAAGCTCTTGCTTTCTCTACGACTCTACGTCAAAATTGATACCGGGGAGGAGCAGGGCCGCTCTTCAGAAACCTCAAAGCGAAAGCGAGGTGCCTGATGGAGGAAACTTGCAGACCTTGCTTGTTCATGCTTTTTCAGGGTCTGAATAGATTGTCCATCTCTGTAGTGACGTGGCAAATCCTGAAGCCGGTAATTACAGCTATACTATACCTATTGCATCCCATAGCAGTGTTTTGTTGCTTTTGAATGCTTTAGAAGTGGGTGAAGGTAGAGATGAGTCGTAGATTGCAACAGGTCACGGACCCGCGGAGTATTTTTCACTGCGGGTGAGACGGGTGAGATGGCTCTGACATGGTGAGATAGCACTAGTTCACCTTTGATACAGCATGATAAAATGGACTGTTTTCGCTGGTGAAATGACTCATCAAAACATGATGGAGAGAAATTGAGTTTTGCAATGATCGATCAATGTAGAGTTGGCCTACAGCCCAACTCTTGCTTGCAAGCTTGGTGAAAGCTGCCTTTCAGAATAGGGCACGTTGCTATACACAAAAGCTGGTGAAAGGTGCCATGGTGCTTCCAGACCAATCATAAGCCGGCAAGGCATCCCCTGCAAATGGAACTTCTGTGAAACACGCCTTGTCCCCGTCGAGCCTGTCACCCATGGCTTGTACCATCAGCTTTTTTTGCACGTCCTGCTCTGAGCAGCTTGGTGATGCTTGGTTGTCTGAAACTGACGCAAAATGTCCCCAAAGGGCAGCCACTGAATTCATGAACCTCTCTGCTTCATGCTTCGAGCAAGAAACTTCGAATCCCAAACTACTCAAGTTACTAGCAAACGAAGGACGTGTCTTTTGGACACGCGTGAATCCTGAAGCCTGGTGAGACAGCCTCATTCCCCATTGGCCTCTGGCTGCCCTTCATACCAGGACATCAAATCACCTGGGCAAGACTCTATTCATTGGATACTGTTGCAAGTAGAGTCGGAACTGCACCCGCTATCCATCCTGGCTAAGGAATCCACGAGCATTACTCAAAGCTGGACCTGAATCAAAGCAAGTCGAACAGTAAACATCTGTGGAAGTCCAAGCCGCTTGGAGTCAGGACCGTTGCACGCCGTTGCACTATGGAATTGAAGTTTATGTAAAAAATACGAAGGTGATTGAGAAGCCTGGCCTTGAGCTTGCTCAATTTCCCGCAACAAAAACGGCTCGTAAATGTCCTGTGGCCGAAAGGCCTTATGATTGCTTTTTACAATACCATCGCTGGCAACATTTCAATCTGTTCATGACCTTTCCTGGAGTCTGCTTGCGAGTGGGCTAAAGCTAAAGCAGGTGCAGGATTAGTTTGGACAGCGGCACTGTTCAATGTCCAAGAGACATTGCGTGACGCCTATTAAATGTTTCTCTGCTCCTTAGCGATGGGGAAGGGCAAGCCACACCTTGGAACATCCAGGCAACTGCATCTGCTCGTTGGGCAATGAACCAACGGAACTTCGTTTAAGGTAACGATGTCTCTCATGACTATTCCCTCTTTGGATGGTCATCAGTACAGCAAAAGGGTGATGCCAAAACACGCGAATCCAGAAAAACAAAGTACATCAAAGTACCAATACTTACTGTTAATTGCTCTGCCAAAGGCCCAAGTCTTGAACATCGGGACATTTGTTCTCCATTATGTAGCTATGATCTATTGTCTATTTATATTCTCTTATGATTCGCCAGTGGATCGGAGTTTAAAGGCTAACTCAAGACTGACAAATCCAACACATTGTGGTGCCATCCGATTGAAGCGGCGCTGTGCTGAGACGGAGCTGTAGAAAACGTGCAAGCAAATAAATCCCCAATCTCTGTAGCCTAGATTCTTGTAACTATATAGTGTTTTCAAAATCTGTTTGTGTGAATTTTCCCGTGCCTTTACGATACCGATAATGGATTACTGGCATATGGGTAGCACGGTCTACCAATTGCCTGTAGATCATTGCTGCGTTGCCATGACAGCCTATGAACATTATGAATCGCCAAGTGAAAAGTGTGCGGCTCATCAAGCTTGAGTTCGGGATCGACCACGATGACCTGAGCGCTCAGAAAAGCAAACATCTCTGAACCAATCATCAAGTGCAAAACTGCAGAATGAAACAACATGAATACCTTGGACCCTTGATACAGGCAGTGCACCAAACAACTTGATTACAAGCCTCTGAAAAAGTTTGTATCAGGCACCAACAGTTCTTGCAGAGAAGTTGACGCGCTTTCCCAGCATGTTCTTGCGCATGCGACCTGACGGGAATCTAGGCGATCTGTGGTACATGGATGTCACAGTGCCAGTTGTCGCTGCCTTGCTTGCCCTTCAAACGCTTTGCCACCGATTCAAAGGGGTTGCCATTCGTCTTCTCTTTCGCCTTGTTCACACGTCCTTGGCACAAGGTACCCAGTCTGAGCTGACACCCACCCACCCACCCACCCACCCTCTGTACTGGCCCAAAGATCAGGCGAGGCAGGAGTGTCAGGGCAAAACCAAGAACACACTAAGAAGGACATTGAAAAACTCCGATGGCCTCGGGCTTGCAAAGCAAATGACAACAAGCGAAAACATGGGGCGACATGAAGAATTGAAAAAAAAGTTTGCTCAGCAAAAGTTCAACTGTAGTTATGTGCATACTGCGTTGCAAAGAAAGTTGAGTGGAGCTATGTCCAGGCGAACCATTTTCAATCAAATAAAACGCAGTGGTTTCCCTTTCTCTCTGGGCTCACAGTTCGCCATTTAGACCGCTGATGGAGCTAGTGAAAAGGGGCTGCGGGACACCATACACATGTCCACATGCAGCAATGCTACCTTACAAGCTAGCAACCCTCTAAGACTCTAAATGACTACATCTCTACACGCCTCCTGAACGCGTGTCCCCTCGAGACGCAAGTGAAAAGAGATGCCTAGCTAAGCCACGACTCAATGCCCCCGAGTGGCACTTCACGCCTTCAAGGCAAGCGGGCGCTTAGTGCATTCTTTCGAGAAGTGTCTTCATCCGTTGGCTTTCTAAGGGCTTGGTGAATATTTCTGCTAACATGTCCAGGGTAGATCCCTGAGCAAGCTTAATCTTCCCAGAAAGGACTTGTTGTTGTGTCCACAGGAAAACTGTATCTACATGCTTGACTTTTCCCAGTCCATGTCGACTGCCTATTGCTAAAACCTGTTGTTGCGTCCATATAGCATGTGATACTAACATGTTCCAGTCTGCCAATAAGCTCTGTTCGCCAAGAGCTTGGCGCGAACCAGATACTAACCCATAGTACTCAGCTTCTCCGGAGTTGAGTGCAATAACTGCATGTCTTGCGAATCGTGCACTTTCCCAAAAGCAAAACTGTACCAGTTGTACTCTTACGAGATCTTAAAAAACCAGCGTGATCTGCGTCGACCCAAACATCAAGTTGGGTGAACTGTGCCTGGTTTGGAAACAAGTGTAACAATCGTGGATGTGATCGCAAATAGCGAGCTCCATGCTTCAGCATCTGCATATGTGCTTGCGTTTGATTCTTCAATCCTATTGTCAGCTCCTTTCCAAGAACAAGTAGACCAGGACGATCTTGGGAAGGGTATGCCTATCTCATGCTCACTGAGCGATAACGACCCGCCTCTTCGCTGCTAATAGGTTCTGACTCATAGACATCCTCCGTTCGCTCTTTCACAAGTGGCGTTGTGACCTTTGCGCCTTCACATCCTACTTCTTGCAAGACCCCTCCACATGTCGTGGATCTGCTTCTAGTTCAATTCCTGCACTCGTCCAAGTGATTTAGCGGTTGAGAAAAACAATGGGTTGTTTGACTCCTTCCATTCCTGGGGGACCAAGAATACCACGAGCGTCAATCGTCCAATGTTCCTTCAACTCCTCAGCGAACCAGTCTAGGTTGGACTTGGAACCTACTCTAGTAAAGTCATCACCATGAACTTCTACACGAATCTGCTTTTCTGGGCGATAATATCCACAAGAGTTTGATTTTCCTCGCGCAAAGCGCATAGTTGTCATTACCGCGCAAATAGCTGCTTCCCAATTTCCTGGTGCGTCGCGAGTTCCATACAAGCTCTTCTTTAACAAACCAACAACATCTGGACCATAAACCTGCTTCTGGTGGAGGTTCCACCAGTACTCGCCCCCTGCATGGCTGGCGACCAAAAGCGTGCTTTCTTCACATCGATGAAAACAAGCAGGTGTCTCGTGTTTCGCGATCAGTTTGCCATTCATGTCTGGAATTTGCTGTGTGATTGCAAGCGTGAACGACATTCGAAGTGCTGCGATGGGTGGCATCGAAGCAAAGAAATCACTCCAAGTGCTCCAATCGTTCTCAGCCTTCTTTTTCAGTTCACGGCGCCCAACCGGCTTCTGTACTTCTCTTTCTCCTCGTCGCCCTTGTTGACGTCAACCCAACAAGTTGAGACGACTATCTCGCCTTTGGGGCGAGGGATGACTTCCCAAACTCCCATGTCCTCAACGATGGAGATCTCTTCCTTTCGAGCGGAAATCACCTTTTCAGCCTTCAACTCCTTTCCACTGACATCATCGTTTCTCGGAGTCTAACCCGAAATCCTCTTCGCAAACAGGGCGCTTGACTGCTTCAACTGGTTGAAGAAAGCCTTACCTTTGCGGCAGGAGCAAATTAGCGACTTCCATTTCAGCATCAGCAGTTTCAGCGGAAACCTGGGCTTCTTCAGCAGAACGTTTTGTTCGCCGGGCGCCGAGCTTCTCTTCTGGTGACTCCAACCGCGGATCATCCGGCAACCTAGGTACCCAAAGCCTGAGAAAGCATGAAAGGAGGTCTGATCATCATTAGGCATCAGGAGGCCAGGTAACGAAACGACGACAGGTCAAGGTGACGGCGGCCGCTCATGTCTGCGCAGCTCATTATATAGATTTTTACTGAAGTGTGGAGTCACAGCTTGTTCAACAGTTCAAACCATCGCAGGTACAAGCCTGTGCGTCCACAGACTCATCCACCCACCAGAAAATGGGCCGCTAGCCGCTAGCCCCCTGCTGCTAATGATTCAACTGAAGACACACTTATGGATATGCGTGCTGACTTGACAGCGATGCCACACGCCGGCCTAGGGTACCATTTCCTAAGAGTACATGAATGAATCCCTGGAGCCTGGAGGTCGTCAAAAAGAAGGTGGCCAAAGGCTCAAGACGAGGTCGGTCCGACAGGTTGACGGC